CTCTCTCTCTCTCGTAGAAGTTGACAACTCACCGTGGCGCGCGTCAGGGGGCGTCGGCGGGCAGCGCAATGACGTTCGGGGCGCGTCGACAGCGTAGGCGGGCGCGTGGTCCGAAGGCGACGACGAACGACGAACGCAGCAGGGTCAACTACGGACGACGGACGCTGCAGGATTGTGTGAGGCCCCTACAAGCCTTGCCGGTGCCCCAAGTAGCCACCCTTCAAAAACCAGGCCGACCCTAACTGAAGGCCGTGACCAGATAAAAATGGCTTGACCCTGATTTGGAGCCCAGCCAAGGTGACTGACTAGGCCCCTGTCGGGTTGCCGCCCAGGTAGCTATATGCGCTGGGACGCAGACCCAAGCCGGTATGCGGAATGGGACTGCCTACAGGCTCCCAGACCCCATCCTCAGACAAGACAAAAGAGACGAGCGCGGGCAGCAGAGGGACATTCTGCCAGCGTGGTGTGTGGTAGTGCTGGATCAGTGAATGCAGTAAGCGAGCGCCAGTCAGTTCTCAACAGCACCATCCCCAACCTACCGAAATGGTGTGATCATACTCATCAGCGGTATCTGGCGAGAGGGAAGTGGAGAGAAAGAGTGTGCGAGGTAGTAGGCGAGAGTATGTAGGCGGGTCGGAAAGTAGTGCAGGCAAACACATCATAGCTAGGGCTACTACTCTGTTGTTGTATTGATTGTTGGAGGTGCGAAGAGGGCTTTCCCGGTCAATACTAGACTCAATAGGCTTCAGGGTCGAAGTCTGTACGTGGATTAGTGTGTGCTTCCGGATTCGTCAGTCTGCTTTCAGCTTGGCTTGCCTATGCTATGTTGGGTCTCCAGTGCACTCTTGCATCTTGAAACTTTCGTATTCTCACTTGCGCAAGTTCTTTGCACATTTCTTGATTTGTCAGAAAACATGGGCTCTTTCCTGGATACTGCGAAGAAATTGATGCACTCACAAACATATGCTTTTTGTGTGTTTGCAGATCGCAGGAGCAGCAGCAAGCATCTTAACAACACCAATCGATGTTGCAAAGACTAGAGTCATGACACAGAGCATCTCTGAACCTGGACCTGTACGATATGTTGGTGCCAGGCAGGCAATCCTCCAAGTATGGAAGGAAGAGGTAAGGCACAGATGTGTTGCAAATCTGTAGTACTGAATACAGGGAAATTATGATGTGGAGCGAGCAAAAAGTGCGTCAAGATATCAAGATACGAGAAGTATCACCAGAGTGCAGACTCGCTTGCGCACCGATGAGCAGGAAGGAATTGATCAGAATGAAAGAAAGTAGTGATCAGAAGGAAGGCAAGATGATGTTTCGTCTTTTTCTTCCCCTAAGGTTGTGTCAACGGGGCATGGAGGTCAGCTCAGGCAACCAGGGCAGACCCAAGCAGAGCGTACACCGTGAGCCTACATAGCTCAGGTGGCAGACCATTGAGAGGGCTTCTGAGCTGTGAGGCATTCTCTAGCACCAAGTGTCTATTTCCACCCACACCCCCGTCCTTCCCCCCTGAAACCACCCTCATGAGGCAAAGCCTAACCACTCATCATGAGACCCGCAGCCCCACCACAATCAACCCAAACCGAACACAGAACAACCCAAGAGAACAACCGGAAGGCTGAGAAGGGCCGTCTTCTGAAGCAGCAGTAAACTCCCACATCAGAACCCCAACGCACGTAAGCGAATGGAACATGAGGTGCCTGACCCCTTTTTTTTTGGTATATGACTCGTCTGGCGCAATCAGAAAGCAGCACACATTGGATGGAGATGCAAGGGAAGACAACATGCCTTGAACACAAAACATCCTCCATGCAACAGAGGTGCCCTACCAACTTTGTAACACCATTTTCTGGGTTGAGGGTGTTGAATTCAATAACTGGCAGTTTGTTTTCCAGTAGCAGAGAAGATACTAGCTTGCCTGGCCTTGGGTGTGATGTCCACACCCCCGTAAGCCTCGAAGGAGGACAGCACATGGCTGTTATTTTAGCTGTCATCAGTCCCTGTCCTATATCGGATGAAAATCTGATGGTGTGGCATCTGTACACCACGAGGAGAGCACACACAGCTCACTAAATACCAGGCGTGCAGAGGGGGACCAGATTTATCTCATCCCTCAAGTACTGCCAGGCTGCTGGACCATCATCACACTAGAGCAGTGTTAGTTCCGTAAGTAGGACGAGGTGGAGACAGAGGCGATTACCAGGACACCTGAAGATCAGCATAGAGCGAGGTATTGCGCCACTTCTGAGTAGATGGGCGAGATGATCTGGAGGTCTGAAGTGGATGGAGATTACACGGGTAGCCGCCATAGCTACTCCAGTGGAGGTCTTCTGCCATAGCCGCTTGCCGGAGTGACTGCCACCTGAGTTCTGCTCTGGCCTGATATTGCAATGAAAAACGAGAGTCAGAGAACTGCTATACCAAGTTCTTTTTTTTAAGTTTTAAAACCTTTTTTTCCTTTCTTTTTTTTTCTATATTCTTTTTCTGCGATCTATGTGTATCACTCTTGCACAGGGGTCATGCTAGTCTCCTCTGTATCATTCCAATTTTAACCAGATGTCCCGGGGCCCGTAGGAGTTCATTTTTTCCTTCTACTAAAAAACAGGTCCTTATGGACCTGGCTCCGTATCCATTCTGAGAAGCATCACTCCAGTTCCTTTCCAGAAGCAAGTCAAGCAGAAATGCGCAAGCACACTTCCTTCCATTACGTCAGGAGGACCCCTGATCGGCATTGATTACTCGCTGAAGGAGAGGCGGATTCTGCAAGGCTCAAGGCCTCGATAAGCCCTATTGGGCCCTCTTTTCAGTACAGTCGGCCGCCCTAAGTGAAGGCAGGCCCGACCAAGGCCTATTTTAGGGTCTCCAGGCTACTGGGGAAATTCAGGCAGTTGCGCAGCACCAGTTGGTTGAAAGCGCCCAGGCCCTGACTACTTTAATCAAATGCATCTGACTCAAGCCCTGGGCGAGATACGCAACAAGGGCCCAACACCAAGTGCGGGCAGTTGGGCACTGGTAACTGTCACAGGCCCTGGGCCTGATACTTTCAGACTGGGGCTCAGCCTCCCGGGGCCTACCAAAAGCTTCTGGGCTGAGGCCCGGTGCAGACAGGTCGCACGCAGCAGGCAGGCCACTGCCATTTCGGAAAGTGCCTGCCCCCGCATTCCGCATTCGGGCACTGGCAGCATGCTGCGCAAGCGCTGTTTCGCTAAGGCTGGCCAGCGCTCACGCGCTCACGGGCAAGCTGGAGGAGCAGGCAGCCATAGCCGAGCTGCGCTGCTGTATGCTGGATGGGGCGCATGGTGGTCCTTGGGTGCATGTGGCATCTGTGAGTTGGGGATCGAGGTTATGAGTGAGGCGAGAGACATACCTGGTGCTTGAGACAAACGACATTGGCCGAGATCTGCTCGTACTTCTGGGAGCTGTTGACGTCATCAGCGGCATTGTAGATAGGCTAGATAGGATCTGCCATTTGCAGTCTGGGCGCCGAGCGCCAGATAGGATGTCAACATTGGTTCTTTGTTGATGATGATGAGACTATTCGAACATTGTCACTTATGAGCTTTTGCTGTGCTCTTATTTGGTGGGACTCGTGATGCAATTCTGCTTTTGGTTCGAGGTCACGACTATCTGGTCTCATGTGTATGATGCTGCTTGGTTTCTGAAGTTCACTATCGCTCATTTTTCTTGCAATTTGGTATCGGAGTTGTGGTACAGTGCGTTCATCTGGCGCTTGTCTTCTGCCTAAGCGGTACATGCACACGGTCTGCTGAGCGAGGTGGCCATGGGAGGTGTGTATTAAGGAGGGCGAAGGCAAGTAGGGCGACCCGGGAGGTGAGGGGTATCGCCAGGAAGGCTACGTGGTGAATATTGGGTGTTCGCAGTGTGATGAGAACTATCTGATGTGTGATTGATGCTGAGGTGGAAGGACGGTGTAATGCTGGTTTTGCCGAAGCAGCCATTGGTCATCACAATCGGCATCAGGTCATTTGGTGAGAATATCTGTGGTTGGGGGCAACTATTTTGAGGTACGTTGCACCTAACCTTATCTACCCTCTTCGACACTTATTACCGTGAGGATGTGTGTTCTGTTTTGAGAGTCCTCTCATGTGAGGAGTCGAGTGCGCTCAACCTCGAGAGTCGGCATTGTTCACGTGGAGCATCTTGAAGGAGAGGGAGGAGTCTCTGAAGGGCCCTGGACGAAGCACTGGGTCACGGTCACCATGCCAACCCACCGGGAGTAGAGCACTCATGCTTTGCTGCTTTGTCCTTTGTCTGCCTGCTGCGCTTATAGATGGGTTGTGAGGGGCAGGCTAGCCCTACAGGGGAGACGAGTAGCGGGCGTCTATAAATAAACACCGGCGGGGKACCTTCCATTGGCTGTGATCGTCGTCCTGTCTGCGACGTTAAAGAATTCCTGAGGACTGCTGGGGCCGTCCTTAAACGCCTCTTGATCAGCCAATCGGTCAGTGTAAGGCTCGCTGCACGCAAAGATAACTAATGTGCAGGGCTGGCCAGCTCAGCATAAGTCGGGGCATAGGGGTGGGCCGTGTGCACACCTTTAGACACGCATGCTGTTCCGGATGGCTCAGGGATGCTGACGACAAGAGACATTCAGGAAGAACTCAGGGAGGGGTAGATTCCAGGTGATAAGTTTCGGAAAGATTCCACTCTGCAAACAGCCAATCAACTGATTTTTTTTATTTTTTTTTTGATTAGTTAGATGTACAGCCATTAACATCTGACAGACAGCATAGTAAGAATTGTTCTTTGTTCATTGTGCTTTCTGTTTGTGAACTAGTCAAAGTAGAAATAGTTTCGTTTGTCGGAATCTGAACTTACCTGTTGGACCCAAATGTATCAAACAACCAATCAAATTTTTTTTTTTTTTTTTTTTTGATTAGTTGGATGTGCAGCCATTAACATCTGACAGACAGCACAGTAAGAACTGTTCTCTGTTCATTGTGCTTTCTGTTTGTGAACTAGTCAAAGTAGAAATAGTTTCGTTTGTCAAAATTTGAACTTACTTGTTGAACCCAAATGTATCGTCTCTGACATAGCCACCGATTATTGATTTTATTTTATTTTAAATCGGTATGTACATCATGCTGCGGTAGGCATCGAGAGTGTCCTAATGCAGACAATGTAAAATTGTTGTAGCCTATGAGTGAGAGGGAGGTTCCACAACTGGACGATAGGATCTTGCGATCGGCAAGACACCCGATAGCCCACTCGGCAATAGGACCAGAGGGCGACAAATAGCTGTTATGCCTGCAAAGGGAGAGACAGCAGCAACAGCGGAGGGCTAGGGCCGCAGAGGCAAGGCGGGCATTCACGAGCGAGGCCGCTACTTCAGCAGCCATGGCATCTGCGGCGCAGCAGAGCTCTCAGGCTAGTAGTTCAGGCACGGTAGGGTCAACGGTCGCACAAACTCTGAGTCAGTCCACTGGTGTTATGACAAGCCAGCTGTTAGTGTTGACCCCTGAGGAGGTCGCCATACAGCGAGCAGCTATTCATGAGGCACAACTACAACAGGCGTTATGAGAGATTAAGGCAGAGAAGGAGAAAATGATTAGAAGAAGAGTCATTATACAGCGGAGACAAGCGGACGTTAGTGAGTTAGAGGAGATGGATCTGGCGCATATGGATGATAAAGTGAGGGCCCTACGGACCGTCCTGCTAGATGTAGTAGAAATGCAGGACCACCAGACGGCTCTCTTACAGGACATCCAATAAAGTCTGGCCGTATTGGTCGGACGGGCGCAGGCAACTCCATCGTCGTCCGCGCCTGGTGCCTGGCCCGTTGCGTATCCTCCTGATTTTGTTTCACCGGTGACTCAAGTATCCCCTAATGCTGCTCGAGTATCGGTCCAAGCCGTTTCCCCGAATCTGCATTTGACAGCCGGGTTCTCAGCAGGTCCTAGTGTACAGGTTCCTGCACAGTTATTGTATTCCCAACCTCAGTCGCAGGTTGCCGTTACCGGGCAGCCTGCTGTCTTGCAGCCTGCACAGCCGCAGGGTACACAGCCCCAGCAGCAGCTAGTGAAGCAGCCTGGTCCCCAAGGTCCACAGCCTGGAGTGGGACAGGTGCCGGGACAAAGCTAGTGGGTTCCAAAGACGGCCAT